GGGAGTTAGAATGTGAGAAGAGAGTGATAGGGGAAGTAAAGTATGATGGATGGCTAGTGATTGATATTGGAAGTGGGTGTAAGTTGTTGTTATTTCAAATAGAGCTATAAATAATTATTAAAACTAAGAGACAATTTGAAATCAATATTTATGAATGTTTTTGTATAAATGCACTTTTATGGAAACAAAACAATAAAAATATATCAAACAAAAAAAAAAAGCTGCTTTTTGTCCTAAAGAACCAGGAATGCATGTGCCAAAGAAGTGGCAAAGAGAGGTGGAATTCAAACAATCTGCTTTACTATATATACAAGAATTGGCATGTTTCAGAGATCAAAAAAAGACCCTTCATCAGGGCTTTTCAAGCAGAAATGAATTGAGACCACTCAAAATGGATGCCAAATCAGCTGTTGCAGTGATCTCTATACAACTACCAAACAGTCACTGAAAGCTCCACTTGCAGTAACTGTCATTCTTAGAACCCTGATGAAGGGGTGATTCTTTTTTTTTTTTTAAACCCCTAATGCATTGGTTCTTAGTACTGGATTTGCAGTAGAGTAGATTGTTCGATGTCCACATCTCTTTGCAATTTCTTCAAAGTTCTTCTTTACTCTACTTTGTCCATAAACAGTAATTCAAGCATAAGGCAAATGTCAGCCCTCACTAAATGCATCTTCAAATACAAGACAGCAATGGCAGATCCCATATGACACTGCCAAAATGTTTTCTTAAAGGATATCCAGGTACAGCTTCATAAAAGCAAGTGATCCAACTAATGCCCACATCGCTTGCATCAAACAATAAGAGATTGTTCCCATTCCTGTGGAGGAAATAAAGCTTTCGTTGTTCATGCTCTAAAAACTCCCATTGTTCTAAATGGAAATCATATTATAGGGGTGTCTATATAATTAGTGTTGATGTGGGCAAAGGTCTCACTGTCTGGACGTTTTTTTGCCAACTGTCCATTCATAAAATGCAAACTGGTTCTTACCTGGGAGCCATCTGGGCGAGGTTTGTACAGATCAAAGATCCCCAGTCTCCTCCCTGAGCATAGAAGTCCCGGAAACCCAACCGCTGCATCAACTTATAGAAGATCCGAGCCACGGCCACAGAGTCGCATCCTATGCAGGAGGTGAAGAGGAACAGCATTTAAAGCAAGACCCCACACTTAAACATGCAGACACCTACAGAACTCACTGGTTCCTCCCGCTGACATCCACGACGTTGAAGGGCCCAGTGATCACTTTTTGGTTGCCCAGTGGACCTCAGAGGTGGGGGTGATTAATCATCAGAGACGGGGTAAGTATTTACACTATTCCTTTACAGGTATAACTTCCTGGAAAAGTTTATTATAAGGATGGGCTGCTTTAGTAAAACTCAAATAAAAGAGAAAAAAAAGAAGGACATTCTGAATTTTGTGAAGTGTGGCTTTCTGGAGAGCTTTAGAGGGTGTCTAGCTGATTTCTAGTTGGACAGAAACATTATGATAACTCAAAAACTGTCACATCTCACCGAAGTCAAACTGTACCTTGCTTATGAGATGCCTCGGAGAACCCATAACCAGGGATGGATGGGCAGATGACCTCAAAAATGTGCTCGTCGCTCAGACCATGGCTGGCGGGATCGGTCAGAAGGGGGATTATCTTGTAGAACTCGTAGAAGGATCCAGGCCACCCATGGACCATGATAAGAGGCTTGGCTCTTCTACCAGCTGGAAGGTTTGCTGGCTTGGCATGAAGAAAATGAACGTCGAGGCCTGGAGCAATAGAAAACAGAAAGATGATAGAAACAGAAAGAAAAATATCTAATTTGATTTTAAATTAGGCAGTTTTGAAAATCATAGCGAAATTAATGAGATCCTAATAGGTTGGACTTGATGGACTAATGTCTTTATTCAACCTCAAATACTATGTAACTATATAGCGGATGAGGATTAAAATCAAAAAGGTCATGTTTAGTACCATGAAACTAAGAATTGGCACATAATGTAGTAATATGTCATTTTTTAAACCCATCTCAAGCCAAAACCTTTTTTTTTCCACATTTTGGATAGAGTAGGGAGATGTCAGAACCTCCATTTTTTTAGGTGTCTATGTCTCCCCTGGGGGGATTTTCCCCCACTTCCTGTTCCATTGACTTGACAGGAAGCTAGAGGAATCTCCCAAACAGAGACAGATATGAATAAAAACCTGATAGAGCTTCTGGCTCTTCCCCCAATCTGTCCAAAACAAAGACAAAAGAGGTTTTACTGTACTTTAATTCTTAACACTTCACCTAACTTTAACTGAATCCTCGCCCTAACACTCCGTCCTAAACAAATATTGTCTATACACAAGAGGCATGTGTGCTCCTACTTTAATCTTAATGTCTTTTGCTTATTGCTCCCTGGTCTGTGCAGTACTCCAGCAGGAAACAACTTCTGCACTTTGCCTCTGTGCAGGAGTTTCCTGTAATAAAGACCAGTCACTGCTGCTCTCTCTCTTTGTGCAGGGTGACTGGTCTTGTCTCTGCCCCCTCCTATAGTTTTCTGCAGACAGCCTGAAAAAGGTGATGCTGGCTGGGTCCCTCCCAGCTATATACAGCACAATACTGATCTCACCTCTACTAATATCTGGGATTGTAAAGGCATTTGGCACGCGCAAAGTGTTTGTTTTTTTTCTTTGTGGCTACTGAGGATTATAATGGAATGAAACTTTTTGTGCCCAGGGATCTTCTTTAAAACTAGGTACCGACCTTATCAGTGCCAAATGTGACCAATAAACCATCCTTACAGCTTCTACACCTAGATCTCACACCGCTTATATCTCAGTGCCAATAGCAATGATTAGCTGTAGTTGGCCCCTGATGTACGCTGGTGTTTAAGCAGTTAAAACTGGACTGTGATTAACGCCATGTCAACTGAACTGCAAGGAATGTGCGTCCAGACTAAAACCATTCACAAGGCGCCAGCATTTATCAGCTGCAATGCACGTAACACACAAATACAGTTATACAAACAGATGAGACATCCAAAACCAACAGCCAGGCTGAACGATGATATCACTCACTGCACTTTTCAGCACTTCAAAATGACATTTTTACCAAGGCGTTCTGGGGGCCCCTGGAAAATTGGGTGGAAAACGGCAAAGCAAGACATTTTCCCTGCCTCCAAAGACCTTATGCAAAATGACTTTAAAGGATCAGATCAGCCAAAACTAGATAGACAGTGTGACAGCGTCCGTCACTCTTTTATTTGGAGGGGGACTGCAGGCCTGCCTCCTTCCCACTGACTGTGGGCCTTGGCTAAGGAGGGGGTTCTATTGATTGGGGGAGGGGCTTGCCATGGTACTTTGGGCTGTTTGGAACACTTTATTCATGATCCATGAATCAGGAGGAGCCCCAGAGACCTATTTTCAAGTGATGTGGGGATACATGGGAAGCTGAGATTGGGTTTTCCTATACATCAGTATCCTGCCCTGGACAAGACTGATGCCAGGACAGAATCTATTGCTCTCCTGAAGTGAAAAGACCTTGTCCTGTGTTTGTTTACTTCATCTAATTGTCTACTGAGACTTGAAATGTTAAACATTCTTGTGTAGGGGGGAGGTTGTGTGTCTATATACTGTGCAGTGTGTTAATACAGTCAGTTCTTGGTTTTTATCCTAACAGACTAGTCCTGACTGGTCTTTATGGGAAGGTTTGGGCTGTATTTATGATTTTCCGGTTCCAGAGTGGAGGAAGCCGATTTCTGACGGAGGTACCCAGTCGGGGTACCAGGCGGTCCGTCACAGACATCTATACTTAGATACTAGTGTGCCAAGTTATTCAGTGAATATGTATAACTCTGTGGGTTTACAAAGGCAAGGTCCCCCACCGTAAATCCTAGCTTTGTCTCTTTTGCTGCAGACACTGCCATAAACTAACTTTCTAGGTTTTATGTCTGTCTGTACCCTATTAGGAAGTTTTCCCGTTTTCCCTTCACTTTATGTCCATGAAACAAAACAGGAAGTGAAAGAAATCTCTCTAAAGTGAGAGGAAATCCTCTATTAGAAAGTTGTCACAGTAGCAGGTGTTTATATTGGTCACATCATCCTCTTTGTCCTGGTGGCCATTGCTATCAGGTAGAGCACTGGACTCCAGGTCTGAAGTTCCAATTATCCAAAGTGGTTGCTGTAGTGCAGCAGCTCTCGAATGCCCAGTGGATCGCTAAAAAGGACCTAAGGCTAGTCAGCTTATGTGGAATAAAAGGATGAGAGGGTGAATCGGTCCAGATATGGTTTTAATTTGTCACAATAGAATAATCTATCAAGAAGTGTCCACCGACATGTTTCAGAAGATATACAAGAGCCCCCTTCATCGAGGATAAAATACAACAAAACAAGTTTATATAGTAGTTTTATTAGTCACACATATGTGGGTGTGTGTGTGTGTGTGTGTGTATATATATATTACACACACACATTTTTTTTTTTAATCATAGGTATCTTGGTGTCTCAGGGTTCACCAAAATGGTGTCATCTGAAGAGGGGCAGAGGGGGAAAA